TCAATATTGTTCGCTCTATCATATAAGCGCATATATACTTATATACTGCTTAGTTTTTATATAATTTTTCTCTATAAACATTGCAAATAAGAAGATCGTCGATCTCTCTCTATTTGAATTCTTCTTCCTTTTAAATTCCAGGTCAAACTCTGGATCGATTCTCTTGCGACCAAACTTCCCTCTGATCGAGATTTTTATATTTTATTCGACGAAAAATCTTTCTTTTTTTGTTTCCCTCCGGAGATGGTTTTATCAGCGAAGCAGATTCTCTCTGCAAAGATCGGATTTTCAAATCCTATTTCACGGCGAAATCTTGTCTCCTCACTCCAAAGATCTCCTGTTTCTCTATCGTTTCCAAAACGCACCGTTTTAGCCGTGTCGAAGCCTCTGCATCTCTCTTCTCTAAGATCAAAGTCTCCGGTGAGATGTGAAGCCTATGAAGCCGATAAATCAGAGCCTCAACCGATCGATGATGTAGCGGCGGTGGTTGAAGAGAAATCGGAAGCGGCGAAGAAACTGAAGATCGGGATTTACTTCGCTACTTGGTGGGCTTTAAACGTTGTTTTCAACATCTACAACAAGAAGGTGTTGAATGCTTACCCTTATCCATGGCTTACTTCGACGCTTTCACTTGCTGCTGGTTCGTTGATGATGCTAATCTCTTGGGCTGTTGGGATCGTCGAGACTCCTAAAACCGATTTCGATTTCTGGAAAACTCTTTTTCCGGTAAGTGGGGGTTGGTGGGGAAAAAAAGTTTTGGTTTTTGAAATGAATTTAGGTTAGATATCGATGTTTTCGATGATGGGTATTGAGGTTTATGGTCAAATTGGTGCAGATCTTGCAGGAATATTAGTTTGTTTTTTTGTTATCTGAGCGATTTGTATAGTTTTGTTTGCTTCCTGAGAGAGAGAGAAGAAAGTGATGTTTTTTATTTTGGCTGTGTTCATAAGCTGAATTTTCATAGCTAAATTCTGAGAATTCAATAGTCATAATCTGAGAATCTGAATCAGCATGTCGTAATTTGGCTTCTACTTAAAAGTGGTGAATTTTTTGATATTTTGGTGTACTAAATGTGGTTTTTTTTGTTTGATTGCCTTAAGGTTGCTGTGGCACACACAATTGGTCATGTGGCTGCAACGGTGAGTATGTCAAAGGTTGCGGTTTCTTTCACTCATATCATCAAGAGTGGTGAACCGGCGTTTAGCGTTCTTGTCTCGAGGTTTCTTTTGGGTGAAACCTTCCCTACTTCGGTTTACTTGTCCCTCATTCCAATCATTGGTGGTTGTGCTCTCTCCGCTCTTACTGAGCTTAACTTCAACATGATTGGTAATATATATTTTACACACTCCAGTTATCCGATGTTTTGTGTTCGTATTACTTGGTAATTGGGATTGAGAACTAAAATGGATTTGATTGGTCGACTTTGCTTTTAAATATTTTGTTTCTGCTATCAGGGTTCATGGGAGCGATGATTTCAAACTTGGCTTTTGTCTTCCGTAACATCTTTTCAAAGAAGGGAATGAAGGGAAAGTCTGTGAGCGGAATGAACTACTACGCTTGTCTCTCAATGTTATCCCTCTTGATCCTCACTCCCTTTGCGATTGCGGTTGAAGGACCTCAGATGTGGGTCGATGGCTGGCACAAGGCTCTCTCTGACATCGGACCACAGTTTGTCGGGTAATGTCCCTCTAAAATGTCTTACGGAAAGACTATTCTCTTAAACATCTACAGATAACGGTTTTTACATGCTGGATGCATTCTTGTCTTGTTCCTAGAATCCGTTTTGAAAGACCCACATATTAAGTTCTTGTCTTTAGCTCTCAAAGTTCTTGTTTTCATCCGAATCATTGAATCTATCTCATTCGCTTACCCGATTTCACATTTTTTTTTTCTATCAATTTTACAGGTGGGTGGTTGCGCAGAGTGTGTTCTATCACCTCTACAACCAAGTATCCTACATGTCATTAGACCAAATCTCTCCCTTGACATTTAGTGTTGGTAACACCATGAAACGTATCTCCGTCATCGTCTCCTCCATCATTATCTTCCGTACTCCAGTCCAGCCCGTTAACGCCCTTGGAGCCGCCATTGCTATCCTCGGAACCTTCTTGTATTCCCAGGTAAACACACAAACCTTAAAATGACCAATATACCCCTGTTATCCATATAGAATATGATGATTAAGCGTCTCTTCACAGCCACATAATGACTCTTAGCCATGTGACTATATACTTATTAAGTGTCACATCCTAATGTTTCTTTTATCTTGGCGCTTGGTGCAGGCAAAGCTTTGAACAGAGAAGAAGACGTGGGAGTGTCCAGGTCTGGTGTTGAGCTCGTGATTTCCGGTTAAAACTAGGAAAAGGGCTTAATGTAGATATTTGTCCACAATAATGAAGAAATGATGAGAATTTGAAGACGACAACGTTTAGTGTGTTAGGTCGAGCTTTTTTTGCGTTTAAGTGTTTGAATTTTGGGGAAATCAGAGATGACTTCTTTGTAAGTTGTAACTAAAGTGGGAAATAGAAATTGTCCCCTTGATAATAAATAAGAAACCCCTATACTCTCTTTTCAATTAAGAGAGATATT